AGTTATTAGCTGAGGTGAAAAATACTTGCAACAAAGTTGAAAGAAGAAACCAGTTTGGAAGAAAATGAAACTAAGAAACCAGAAGGAAGTGCACATTAGAGTCAGGAAGATTGTCATGCCAATCATTCCTGAATAAGGAACTTGAAGCATTTCATAATGGAAATTCCTCAGGAATTGTACTTCCTATGGAAGTGTGAGTCAGGAATTGTCAGTTACTTCATATAGTAGAAAAGAAATCCCCGGCTCCCATGGGTCTTTTGGAAACACTGAGGAAATTTAATTTCATGGAGTAGGAGATTGACAAATCTTGATGATATTGATGAATGTATTACAGGATGGTGATTCATTGAAGTGTTGGAATGTTACTAAGAAGTACAAGGAAGACAGTCAGTTTTCAAATAGGTTGGATAGTTGTATAAGTGAACTGAAAATACTTCTTTGCAAGTGCTTTTGAAGAGAATTGACATTGCATGTGTTGCACATCTATGACCTCTTAAAAGGCTCCCCCTAGGTTTTTTATATAATACTGCAAGCTAGATCTGTAGACATTCTAAATGTATTCCATGAATCCTTGTCAAACCTAAGGCCGACTTTAGACTGACGACGGTATTCGATCGCACGACAATCGTTGTGGGCGACGGCTGGCTTTAGACACATGACCATAAAGCGTGGCGGACACCCGCAGCGCAGGATGGTACGCCGCGCGCCAATTCAAAATGGCGAGAGAACCCCTTTTTTCGGCATGCTACAGCAGATTGTTTTTATCCTGCTTTTAACTCGTTGTCCTGTGGATGAGACGCGGAGTTTGTGCCCAGCAAAGAAGGGGTATGAGGCACATGTACCGAGCGGGGAAATACTCCGGGTTTGAACCAGGCGTTTGGTGCTGCCGTCGGCCTGGCTATATTGGCCGGGAAATGTGGATCGGCGGATCGGTTCGTACCGGAGAAGTAGCGATTGGTGGCAGGGGATTGTACTAGACACGTATGACGATATAAAGTCTTTGGTTTGACGACATTTAATGATACAGGCGATGTGCTTGGACATGAAATAACGCTTGCAGGCTTATTTGCATAAGGCCAATGACCTCCCACTTCCTTCGCCGGCGACGGTTCACTTTAGACGATGGAAAATCCTCCTCGGACCCCCCGCTGGTAGTGACGACGATTCGAGGATTACCGTCGTGCGACTATTTTGATCGTGTTCAGACAGTGGTAAAATACCGTCGCCGGCAACATCTTGACGATAAACATTCGTACGACTATCGAACCGTCGTCAGTCTAAAGTGCCCCTAAGGCTATTGAAAGTTATTTGGCAAAGAAGTCCGGAGTCCTGCCATTAAAAAAAAGTCCATAGATTTGTATCACTTGGCATAAACTGTCTGCTTTGAAAAAGTGAACATATACAGATCTATGTTATCAAATTGTCCTTACAATATTAGTACTGACAATGACCTGGAATAACCCCACCGTTGCCATGCCCTGCCACACCCCTGCAGGAAAAACCCACTTCTCCTGTGTTAACAAATTGACGTCAAGGATTTTCTGACCACTTCCACCCTAACAAATCCTCAGGAAGCTTTTAAACACACATAATAGGGAAGTTCTCATCCACACCCCTATAGTAAGGCTTAGGACTGACATGTTGGTAGACGTAATACAACTGGGTGCCGCTGCCTGCAACAACGGTATGTTACTATGTTAGGAAAGTGGTTTTACAGTGGTTGATCGGAACAAATAGATAAGATTTTGACTGTAGGTGTTCTTTACATTACTTTTGTGTCTTGCAAATCCCACCTTTTTTGTCTCTCTATTTCTGAAGTTGAACTTGAAGCCAAGGGTATGATCCTGTTATACATGTGTGGTAATGCAGAATCCATACCACTTCTACCTTTCTTGACACAATGTTGTCTTCTTGTGAGAAGATTTGTAAATTGTAGTTAGAACAATATACATTTTGTAGGTATGCCAAAATTCTTAGCAATCTCTAGTACTAGTAGTAGATCTCTTCATAGATAAGCTCTTTCAAATGATTCATAGGACAATATGGATTTCTTGCTTTAGATCATATTTGCTGAAATTGTCTGTCCGACCAGTACTATACATGTACGTGTAAGTAAATGTTTTTCTTCTCCAGCTGTGAACAGTTTATTTGAAGTTTGAGTTTCAGTATTATTAGCTGTTCATGTTGTGGTTCCTGTTGTCCTGGAGTGACCTTCCTGTTCAAACTGACTTCCTACCACATCATACAGGGACCCAGCTGGTTGGCTTTAAGATCTGAAGATCAATGTAACAGTGGGGTTCAAGTGCCGCTAACTGATCCATTCCAACGGGTCCAGACCTTTTGGCATAATGCTTAGCACGCTGGTTACCTGGGTTTGCCTCGGGTTCGATTCCCGGTGTCCAGGGAGTCAGGGGTTTTCCTGTTTCTACTCGCTTCTCTGAAAAGTTTCATCATGTTCAAATGTCTTTCCAGTCGAGGTCAAAGCAGAGGCGAAACATGACACTTTTATTAGCTTAAAGGGTATTGTCATTTGAATTATCGTCTAAGCTAATGAAAAAGTGTGATGCTTGGTCACAATTAGCCAAGCACACTCACATATAAATCCTGATAGTGTAGATGCCTTGTGGCTGTTAACAGGTCTTTGATTCAGATAATTAGGGAATCCATAAAGAACAATAATCATAATGGATTATGCCTAATTCCTGGTAGCCTTAGGTAGTTAAGAAAATGATGACTTTGCCTAAAGGGTTAGTAAGTTGTGTACGTGTCCCACTGCACGTGAACTATTTCCTCTCACCTGACAACACCAAAGTGTTTGTCAACAGGAAGCTATAATTGTCATGAATTTGAGGAGTGTCTTGCAAGGAATCTGGGAGGAGGCTGAATTGTGAATTCCATTAAAGAGGAAATTTGGAGTCTTGGCATACCAGCTACAGGTGTTAATTTTCTTACAGCTTGCCAGTGACTTTAACTTGTTGAAAAAAAATTTACAGTTCTTTGACTTTGACTTTCCACAGTTGTAACTTGTTGAAAACATATCACAAGAAAATACAAAACAAAAAGACCTCAAATCATTGATTTGTATCAAGCAATTAGAAACATCAATGTTTGTAAAAGCTTTAATCTAAATACAATATCATGAAAGAGGAATTTGAAAGATTAAGAAATATGTATAAAAGGTATGTATAGAAAAAAATTGTGACAAAAATGTCTTATCTTTTTTAAGTTTTAAGTGACTAGTGTTATGATTATTATGCCTACAACTACTGTACTTCCCATCCTAACACTGGAATGTTGATAATTTTCTATAGAAAATCAGGAATGTTTGGACTCTATCACACAAAAAATGATCCAGTTGGAGACACAACTCCTCTAAATCCAAATATGGGCATGGTGGCAAGCTTGGTCGGAAGCTGACCTGCTGTGCTGGTGTGATGTCACAGAAACTGTGATGATGTCACAAACACAGTGACCTGACATCCACCCTGTTCCCTGGGGGGGATCCCTTCAGTTCAGGTCACCAGAACACAATAGAGAACTCCTGACACACCCTCCAGCTAGTAATACTAGTAGTATTATTCTGTTCAATTTAATCCTCGCAGAAGTTGTATGAAATTCTTGGTTTTGGGTGGTACAAGCTTCTTTCTTTGTTGATTTAACTTAAGAAGAATGCTAAGATGTTGATAGGGTCCAAGGAGTGGTGGGTGTGATTTCATGCTCTTAAGGTTTTTTTGGGAACTACACCCAAAATAGGGTCGGAAGTTTGGACTTCCACTCAGGTTGTGGTTTCCAGCCTGTGTGGTAGTTCTATTATATTCTCTTCAATTTAATCCTTAAAGTCTTTGCAGAAGTTGTAGGCAGTTCTTGGTTTTGGGTGGTACAAGCTTCTTTCTTTGTTATAAAGACCTTGAAAGGTTCCAAGGAGTGGTGGGTGTTATTTCATGCTGGTTAGGTGTCCTTAATTTACTTAAAGTATACACAAAGTAGGGTCGGAAGTGGGACTTCCACCTCGCGGGTTACGAGGCGTGGTGGTTTTAATGGGTGTGAACTGTGAGGGACTAAATAGGAGGACTCAGCTAGCCTGCGTCAGTGTGGTGAAGTTACTCACACGTGTGACTGGCTAGTGTGGGAATGCTGCACTCATGACTTGTAGTAGTAGTTGTACTAGATAGTTGTAGGAGCACTTGCCTCGTGCTGTAGAATTGCATTGGAACTTGGCAACTTTTTGTACTACGTTTTGTGTTGGATAGTATCGGCTGCTTTTCTCAAGATTTAGGATGGAAACGCCGCACATTTGTGATTACTGTGTAGAAGTATTGATCAAGATTCCTCACGGTTAGTATATTTTGAATGGCTTAAGCTTAAGCTTTTTCTCCTGTTGTTTCACTAAAGACAAAACAGTGTTTTTGGTGACCTGTATGCTGTGCAGTATCTAAATCTTATTAATGTTTACATGGTCTGATTTACTACATTGTACTTCCCAATGAAAAGTATTTTAGGATATTAGAAGGTTACTAACTGTTCCCAAAATTGTTCTTGATGCTGTCACAAAGTAAGGTGTAAAAACTGTGTAACTGATAACTGTATCTTCTTTCCCTTGCAGAAGATTCTTGAATCTGTACTTGAGGATCCTGGAAAAACTGGCCAAATAGATCTGAATGATGTTGTTAGCAGCCATAGAATTACAATGTGAAATTTTTTTTCTCTTTGCAGATGTTTCAGAGGTGCTTGCTAACTTCCCTGCCAGACTCACCACATCCAATACTCTTTCTTACAAGTTCAACATAAGATTTAGAAAAAAAAAACATCATAGTCTAAGGCGTAAAATAAGAACTTGTTTCAACTTTAAGATGATACTGTTACTCCTATCGTTGCAGATGTTTCTGAGATCCTTGCTAACTCTCCCACATCTTCTTACATAAGATTAAGATCTGCCATTATAGTGAGTCTAAGGTGTAAGATAAGACTCTAAGATGTTACTGTATTTCCCATCTTTGCAGATGTATCTGAGGTCCTGGCTAACCGCCCTCTGCCGGACACACCGCACCTCGGGGAACGCTGGACCTCACGGGAAAACCTCCTGTTCGGGCCGGAGCTGAACGACCCTCAGCTGTTCGTGGCGCTGTACGACTTCGTAGCAGGAGACACCAACCAGCTTAGTATAGTTAAAGGTAAGCTGATACTGTGTTTTGTTTGTCATGTCATAGTAAATCAAGTAATACATAAAACCATCAAAAAGGATTACATGTACCTCTGTACCACTTTGTTGCAGCTTAGTATAGTCCAAGGTAGGCTACCGGTAATATGATGTTTTGTTCAGATAAACTTTGTAATAAATCCAACACTAGGATGGAAATCTAAAAAGAGACTTTGAGACTTTAAAACTAATCAAAAGCACGATACAACTTGTAGCAGGATACAAACCAACTTTGAGTTGAAAAAAGTCCTTGTCTTTCTTCATGTTACAGTTTTTCCATTTATCAATGGTACTGTTTTATTACTATAGCCTAGGTGTAATACAAATTTTCTGGCTCCTTTAGTTAATGGTAGCATTTTGGGCTATCACAGGATGAATAGGCCAGTGTTGTTTTTTTTTCCACCTGCTTTGTTGATTTTCTGTAAAAATCCAAGACAAATGAAATTGGTATAGCCTAATGCATCATGTAAAACTGAAAATCCTTTCCCCTCCCCCCAGGCGAGCACCTGCACATCCTGAGTTACAACGAGAGCGGGGAGTGGTGCGAGGCTCAGAACCGGAACAAGCAGCGCGGCTGGGTCCCCTCCAGCTACGTCACCCCGGCAACCAGCCTGGAGAGACACTCCTGGTACCACGGAGCCATCTCACGCAACGCAGCGGAGTACATACTCTCATCAGGCATCAACGGCAGCTTCCTGGTCAGGGAGAGCGAGAGCAGCCCGGGACAGCTGTCCATCTCACTTAGATATGAGGGGAGGGTGTATCACTACAGGATCAACAACGCTTCAGATGGAAAGGTGGGTTCTTAGTGTTAACATTCATGATGTAAACTTTTACAGTTGCTACTCTAATAAGTTACTAGTGTACTAATATCAACTGATTCAAGTTAACTGTTTTGTTGACCATTCACACATACCTGTAATGTGTATTATGACACTTGGTAATGGGACTAAAATGAAGTAACCAATACAGAATCAAGGTGTTATAATACTAACAGCTTCTGAGTTATAGAATTCACTTATTATAGATTGACACAACACTTTGTCATAGCACTAAGTCTTTCAGTATACATGGTGGTATATGCTGCTGAAAATAGTTGTGCAGAACAGAATTACTGTACAGTACTAAGTATTACATTCTTCTGTCTCATCTTCTCCCAGGTCTATGTCACATCAGAAAGTAGGTTCAACACATTAGCAGAGCTGGTCCACCACCACTCCCTGGACCCTGACGGCCTGATCACGACATTACGCTACCCCGCGCCCAAACGTAACAAGCCCACGGTGTACGGCCTGTCGCCCGAGCCCGACCACTGGGAGGTGGAGCGTACAGACATCGCCATGAAGCAGAAGCTGGGAGGGGGACAGTACGGGGAGGTGTACGAGGGAGTGTGGAAAAGGTACAGCAGGACTGTGGCTGTCAAGACGCTAAAGGTGGGGAAAACGATTTTGCTTTTGTGTTGACAATCATGAAATAGATTACTGAAACTTCTACACCATACATTTTGCTGTATGTCTGTGTAAGGGTGTATTTAATATGTAGACTGTGTATGGCTATATGTTTGTGGATTTGGCAGGACTCCAAGCTTGAAATCTGTATGTTGTTGTATTTTGTCTGACCCTGACCTCTTCCCTCATGACCTCGGCAAAATGAGACCATGAGTTAACTTTTGGGGTTTATTCATTCCTTGCTAGACCTTCAGTCCATATCGGTGATTGTACTCACAATTGTCTGCATCACAAGGAATTGTGCTTTATAGCATCGTATTCTCAACTCAATTTTGTTTGATCCAATATCTCCCTCTTGCTATCCAGGAGGAGACGATGGGTGTGGAGGAGTTCCTGAAAGAAGCTGCAGTGATGAAGGACATCAAACATGCCAACTTGGTGCAACTGTTAGGTGAGGATTGAGACAGTTGAATGGTTCAAAAGATAGAAGACTGGCCTCTTCACGGTTAAAAAGAAAGGGTGTATAAATGTAAAAAAAAAACACACTATACAGTTGTAGGCAATAAAGAGAGCAGTAGCTTCATGATATCAATAGTAGTTTTATCCAGTCCTTGATTACGGATACACTGCCGTGGGGATCCTTGACATGGGTAGGCAGCAGTCGGCAGTCTTCACACAACACCTCCATGTGTAGATCTGTCCAGCGGGTCCACACCAGCAAGTTTGCACTCTCAGTTTGCTGAAGAAAAGACTTCTTGCATACTTCTTGCATACTCTTTATGAGTGCTTCCATAGTCCATGTTTCTTTAAGTGTTTGAAATCCTTCCCGTTGTACCCCCCCCCCCTCCCGCAGGAGTCTGCACCAGAGAGCCTCCGTTCTACATCATCACAGAGTTCATGCCTAACGGAAACCTGCTGGACTACCTGCGCAACTGTGACAGGGAGGAGGTCAACGCAGTGGTCCTCATGTACATGGCCACACAGGTGGCATCCGCAATGAGCTACCTGGAGAAGAAATACTTCATTCACAGGTGAGAACAGGTGTTACACATGTGTTGTACATGTGTTGTACATGTGTCCATGTCTGATGCAAGTATAACAGTGCAGTTTGCTGAACAAACATTTTTGAACATTTAAATTACAACCTTCCAGTACAGTGATCAATAACAAAACTATTGGAGGCTCAGTTTGTGGTTAAGAAATAATTCTTTTCAACTCCAAAAAAATTTGGTTACAAAAAAATTCTTTTCTAGTAAATGGTGCAGCTACATGTGTGATGCCTTGAACCTAAGAGAGGGTAGTGATCTTTTCAATGCCTTCTAGCCTCAAGTATATATGGACAGTCAAGTAACAGAGACTTCTCTTCCCACAGGGACTTGGCGGCGTGGAACTGCCTTGTCCTTTTGGCATTACTAGCGACTCGAATAATAAGTACACAGTGCTATGGATAATGGACAATGGACAAATGCAGAGAAAAACAACTAGATAACAGAGACTTCTCCTCCCTTCCCACAGGGACTTGGCAGACCTGCCGTGTTCTTTTCAATTTGGCATTACTGGCAACTCATACAATGTAATAAGTACACAGTGCTGTAGGTAATGGACAATGGACAAATGCAAAGACGAACAACAAGATAACAGACTCCTCTTCCCTCCCCCAGGGACCTGGCGGCGCGGAACTGCCTTGTTGGTGAGAGCCACCTGGTGAAGGTGGCAGACTTTGGTCTGTCCAGGCTGATGACAGGTGACACGTACACGGCACACGCAGGGGCCAAGTTCCCCATCAAGTGGACGGCACCAGAGAGTCTGGCGTACAACAAGTTCTCCATCAAGTCTGATGTCTGGGGTAAATGTTTCTTGCTTTATTTTTTCAAGTTTCTTAATAAATGAAAAAAGATGACCTATATGCTACAATTAGGAGCCGCAACGTCCATGTAATCCAGTTTGATGCAGTGTATCAAGTTTGACATCTGGGGTAACTTTTTCTCCTTGTTTTCTTTGGGTTTGTTGATGAAGGCTTAACATCCAGGTAGTACGATACACAAGAAAACTGTTACTCAAGGTACTGGATAGATTTTGAAAACAGGTGTGAGTGTGTGGTATTCGTGTTAATGGCAATGCAGCTATGGGTTTGTAAATTTTATAATAATTTTAAAGGCATGCATCACAATTGTTCCAAATACAAAAAGAAGAAAAGTTTTGTGTTGTTTAGTGATTATTATGTTTGATATTTTTATGAGCAAAAAATAATAAGTCTAGTAACTGTTGTTGTTTGTACCTGTTATTTTGTTATCAGATTGTGCGGGTCAAGTTGATGTAAACTTACAATTCAGCCACAAAGCTGAAAAGAGAAAAGTACAAATAAACCAGGAACAAAAAAAGCTAACCTTCCTCCCTGTCCCCCCCAGCGTTTGGAGTCCTACTGTGGGAGATTGCGACATACGGCATGTCTCCGTACCCGGGGATCGACCTGACTCAGGTGTACGAGAAACTGGAGCAGGGCTACAGGATGGAGAGACCTGACGGCTGTCCTAGTGATGTCTACGAACTCATGCTCAAATGTAAGCAAATTGTCGACTAGAACACGTGAAAAATGAAGTTCTTTCACTTGTTTAACAAGAGCCAATGTTTTGATGGCTGTCTGTTATCTTCATCAGGGCAATTATGACTGGTTAACTTTCCACTGAAAGTAGGTGTTACTGGTTCACATCAGTACACAGCAACATCTACTAACTCATGCTCAAATGTAAGGAACATGTAGTCTATAACTGTGTTTGTATTGTGTTTAGGCCATGCCAGTTTAATTTGTTGGTTCTCGGATATGCTTGACTAGAAAAAAGTCATGAAAACAAAGCTTCAAGACCAGGTTAAAGAACAGAACTGGGATGTTGCTTTTGCATGTGTTAACGTATTTTGCAAGTACACCTACTACCTATTGTAAGTAAGTCAAAGTGATATTGAGAATTTTAAAAGAAGGAGTGAGTCAGTTCTAACCCTGTTGTTTTGCAGGCTGGCAGTGGAGACCAACAGAACGTCCAGACTTCAGGGATATCTACGATGCCTTGAACACCATGTACCAAAACTCCAACATTAATGAAGGTAGGCATTCTCCATTTTAAGGGGTCAAACATTAACCTATTAGGGAACAGTCACTTTCTTTGTGCTAAATATGTTTTTGTTGTACTTTTTGGCACTGAAAAAAATTTCTTAGGTCGTAGAAAGACATGCTGTAAATTTGAACCGTGCAAAAGTAGAGAGGGATCTTTATTGTGCTACAATTTTTTTTTTCTTGTACTCTTTTGCACCAAAAGTGTAGATAAATGGATAAATGAATAAAACTTGTTTGTATTTGAACCCTGCAGAAGTAGAGAAGGACTTTTTACAAATGTTTTTTTTTTCTTATACTCTTTTGTACCAAATGTGTTTATAAATGGATATATGGATAATAGGATTAAACTACATTGTGTCTGACCCCTGCAGAAGTAGAGAAGGAGCTGGAACGAGCGCCGGACCTCCCCACCAAAGCTCGCAGCGTGAAGCGGGGGGACGACAGCAGTCCCATCATGCAACTGCACGGCGCCACGGAGCCAGGTACCTGTGAGTGTCCCGCCAATCAATCAATCAATCAATCAATCATCAATACCTAATCAATTAAGCACGGTTCTTTACCCAGCATGCTAGAGCTGGAAGGGCAAGGCACTGTAGGTGAAGAAATAGTGCATTGTGGGGAAGCATGTTTCACACTGATTTGATTTGATTTGTGTGTGTGTGTGTGATTCGGCATAATTTGATGCATTTTACTGAAGGAAGTGGGAGGATAATTTTTCAGCTTCCTCCTAAGTCTCTGAGTCTGTGTTGTAGCATCCAATTAGAATTGCATTTTGACAATTTTTTGATACAGAAGTAAGAAGTGTTTCTTGAGTTGTTCTGAAACTGATGTTGCCTCTCTTCCTCCCACCCAGATTCCAAGTCCCAGAAGACTCAATCAGAGAAACAATCACCACCGTTGCCTAAGAAACAAAGCAGCAACAAACACAAGGACAAAGACAAAGACAAAGACAGAGAACGGGACAAGAAGGAGGAGTCGTCCGGAAAGGAAGAAAAGTCGGGGAAAGAAGAGAGTCGCATGAGCAAGGCCTTCATCAACCTTCCTGCGCTGTGGAGACGCAGCAGCCGGATGAAACGCCCGGCGCCCCAGCCTCCCAAGCGGAGCAGTTCCTTCAAGGACGAGGCCATGCAGCAGCACAAGAACAACGACACCAACACGTACCCGCCGACGACCAACTCCCACCCGCTGTTCCACCGGCGGGAGGAGAAGAACGGGATGTCGCAGAACTTCGAGAACCTGAACCAGGAGCTGAACGCGCACCTCTCCCAGACCAGCCGCAGCCTCGGCAACCTAACGGTCGACGCGGGATCGTCGGGCGGTAAGTTCCCAAAGAAGGCGCTGCCGTTCCCGCATGGCACGCGGGAGAAGACGATGCACGCGATGCACGCTGGCGGCAGGACATCCATGTCGTCTCTCGACATCAGCGAGGACCGGGAGGCTCCGCCGGTTCCCAATCCACACATGTTGAAGTCCTCCTCTAGCACAGACTTTACCACGACGCTGCAGAAAACAGAGAGATTTCGCGGGGACACGGACTCCCCCTCCCCTCCTGCTAGGAGGACGAAAGCCGAGAAGTCAGAACGGAAGTGGAACAAGAGCCCAACACACAGTATTAAGAGCGTTAGCGGAGCGTTAGAGAGCTATCATAGGGACGAATCACTCCAAGGTGCCAACCTCGCAAAGCACGAGAGGCCAAGAAATCTCCTAACTCCTCCTCCAAGACTGCCCTCGCAAAATATACATGTAGGCCCTTCAGAGAAAAAATCAAGTCCCGAGTCAAAAGACAGCGAAGCGAAGGCAGACAATGGACACAACGCCGTGTCCAAACCTGCAAAGAAGAAACCTGGCTACCTTAAGAAACCCGTGCACCTAGGCAATCTCCACATCACAGAGGAGGATCTAAACGACAGAGGGATGAGAGCAGAAAGAGCTGAGAGTACGGCAACTCCCCCTCCTACCCCTACTGGAGGGGTAAAACTGTTCCCTGGGATGCCCCCACCTGTCAAAGGTGCTCAAGTTAACCCTGTGATCAAACCACCAAGGACTTCCAAACTAACCTCGTCCGATAGCGGCTACCAAACGTCGGATTACAAGTCTACAACGGACAAACCCGTGATAACGAGTCCTAAACCGTTACTGTCGACTCATGGCGATGGCCCGAGCTCCCCGTTAGGATTTAAACCGCTCATTCCCGCTAGAGTGTCGCTGAGGAAAAGACCGCTGGTGGAAAAGCCATCAGAAGAAGTAACGAAGGAATCCTTACTACAGATGTCGGACAGTCTGCTACAAAAACTGACAAACACTAACCATAATTCCTACATTGGGGATGTGCAAGAGCTAGGACAGGACTACCTAAACGCCTGTTCGCACTACATTGACAATGTCCAACAACCGCACGCGAAATTCGCCTTCCGCGAGGCAGTCAACAAGTTAGAAGGGTCCATGCACGAGCTAAGACTCTCCCAAACAGCTACAAGCCATCACCCCAATCTGGACAAAGTCCTAGCAGAACTTAGAAGAACTACCAAGGAAATCAGTGGCATTGTGAAAAGATAGTACAGTCAGTATTCTTCCATCCATGCATACTAAGGTGGCCAGTTCTCTTCCTTTGTAAGAATCATGTCTTCGTTGTTATTCATCGTCAGAATTTAGTAAGATGTTTACTCTTGTTGAGCAGTATCAGATTTTTTTTTTTTCACGCAGGTGGTTTTGAGTGTGGCAGTTGTAACAGTCCCGTATATTGTGCCTTGCCTGAGATTTTACACCTTTTCTCTCTACAGATGTAGTTTGATACATCACTAAACTCATGGACTTTTACAAACAAGACGATTAACAGGGTGTTCAGGACGTTATCACTGCCACACCAAATACCACGTAGAGAAATTATGGTTTATATGCAAACAAAGCTTGCCAAATCTTGGTCCATCCATTTGTTAGGATTTCTTAAAATTTTGCATAGAATCCCTCAGTCCATAAAGCATTGGATTATAATTATGTGATGTTCAAATTTGGGCAATGTTAGTCCTTGCAACAGGGATAAGTCCCCATCTCTAATTGAAAACTTGTTTCCTTTTTTTCCGACTAGTATTTTGGGGCAATGCCAATGGGGTTTCAGCAATTTGTATGTATGTGGGACATCAGTCTGTGTAAGAAGGAATTCTTTGGTTGTGCATATCACTCCTGTAGCCATATCATTGCCAAAAATTACTTGTATGTTTCCTATCGCTCATTCTTGTTATGGCCTGGCACCCCTCTTTTTTTAAGTGGCAGTGACCTGACTTCTATAGAGTCTGGTCTGTATTTGGGTTATGCCACTTTTACAAGAGGTAGCTAAGTTGTGCTTTTTTTGTATTCAAGCCTGGGAGAACAGCAGTTTGGTTTAGAACAAGGTAGTTTAATTTTCATTCGTTAGTTAAGATATAATTGATTGCTTCCAGAATGAAGCAATGAAAATTGTGGAGAAATTTGAATCAAGAATGAATCATAATGATTGTTTTTATTATAATCCACTTTTGTGCAAATATGGAAGTATTGCAAGTTCCATTTGTTGTTGTAATTGTACAGTTAATTTTTGTCCATTCCATGTTGTAGTTTACTTTTATTCAAGGTTTACAATAATGCAATAGACCAGGCAACACACTGACTTTTGTACTCTTCACTAGCTTGCCCAGAACATTTGCACAGAAATAGACAACAAAATAGAAGTATCATGGTACACTCTTGAAATCTGAGATACAGATTTAAAGACATTGTTGACATGTTTGGCTACATATACACACTCTTTTCTGTTGTTCATTATTTTTGTGACGATTATTTCTCAGGTGATTGAATATTATTTCATAGTTAACATGACTTAGCATAAAGCATAAATAAAGGCACCACACACACATGTATCTAGCCATGAAGCCACAGATCAACATTAATACATTGACGAAAGCTTCGCCACTTTCTTGCATTTTGATAATACTAGTACTTGAGTGTATGAGTGACAAGCGATCACAGTATTATCAGATATTCGACCAATGGGCTTTACCGATTATAGTCATGTGACCAGTGCAGGTGCCATTTGAGGTCACTGGTTAGTGTACAAAAGCGCCTCATTGTGACACGGTCACAAATTGCAGGACTTTGAAGGCCAAGTGTTATAATTCAGAATCTTATGTTGAATTCAGAACAAAGACGGCAAGAGACATTGTGGAACTATTCAGTGTTCTAGAATTGATACTTCCAAGTCATATAGTAACCAGGGCTTGCCAACGTTTCAGTGGGTAGAATTTCTAGAAAAAGACTTTATGTATCTAGGTACATACAGGAGACAAATATGTGCCTAAGCAACCTTTATCTGACAGGTGAGAGTTGGGGCTTGCTGTTGGTTTGGAGAATACTGGCTAGTGTAAGAAGGAAGCTATCCACACGTGTTAAATCATGGTCACCTGCATTATATTGTGTATTTGTACTTCCTGTACAGACCCCACAAATGTATCATAGCTTTGTACCGGACCCTTGTACAGTCAAATTAAAATGCTCATCATTATGAACTAAGTGTGAAGGTCTTTTTGTGCGTGTGTATGACATTGTGTGTCTGCTTGTGTACAGTCTGAATGTGTGTGTGTGTGTGTGTGTGTGTCTATGTGTGTGTGTGCATGTTTGACTCTGAATGTATGTCATTGATTTTGTGTACGTGTATTTGCGCATGTGCATTTGAGTTTGTGTATGTGAATGTTCATGTGTGTTAGAATTAATCAGTGACATATTGGCCAAACTGCACAAACCAGATGCCCAACTAAAACAGGCAAAGGTGACAAAGACACGTTATGTTATGCAATAGTTTATTTTTCTTCAATGCTGACTCAACATTCATAGCTTCTATACATTCGTTCTCGACAACACTTCCGTACGTAAATCGAATAGTGCATGCCATTGAAACATCTGCTGCAATATCAGTAAACTACACTAGACGGCGCTGTTGTCAACATCAAGGTTACATACATTACATTTAGTATAATTACTATAAATGAGGTATGATATAAATTCACAGTGTAGAAAATAAATGAAGTAGTTGTTTCTTAGGGCGTTTTGATTTCCTTTTTCGAAACGTTATTAGAAATGCAATATTTTTAGCAGGTACGAACATATCCCGACATGCTTGGCGTAAAAGTCCTAGTACATTGTAGTAACATGGGATCAAACATGGCTATTTGACTCCATGGTAGTAACAGGTGGTTTCAGCCTGGGAACGAGCTCGTGACGTCAGAGAATGATGATCTTGTCCGCCAAACGGTAGAGGCCGTCGATAGTCTGAAAAACAGACCGGTAAGATTTTATCAATACATGACCATATGAATATGCTAGCAGTTCTTCAATCTTGGTGGCGACACTGTAGCCTGGGTGCCATCGATCCGCAGTAGTATATTCGCCAGCTCTATAACTGGATAGATAGAGCTGGCGAATATACTACTGGGGGTGGCACCCAGGCTAGCGACACTGCTTCCGCATATATTTCTTTGTAATATATGTCTCGTAATATCTTGTGTTACAGCTTCAAAGTATCATAACGCTAGACTCCCTGAGTTCATATCAGTTTATTTATTTACTTGTTTATTTATTTATGAAGATTTACCACATTTGTTGAAGGATTGACATAACAGGTGACTATCATATTTTCAAAGATGTCAACCCCGAGACCAGACTGTAAGGTTTGAACCACTCACACCGGGAAGGTCCCTACTCTTTTCGATAAGTGCGGTGGGTTCGATAAGTTCAACTTGTCCACAGAGACCCATTCTCAGAAACGATTCTGGATAGTCTCCGCATATCCAAGAACGCAGAGGCAGTGTCTCATGCACGGTTCTGGAGGATACCCGCCCGAGAACGGTGGTTCTAGATAAAGCACGGCTCTGGATAGAGCAGACTGGCTCTGGAATCTGGATACAACAAGAGCTACATGTAGACTAACATATATATCGGTTCTTTCTCCATACAAAGTACAGTTCTGAATTCAACAGGAGCTACATGCAGACTAGCGTTACTCTTTCTCCATCTATGTACGAGTGGATACAGCACGGTTCTGGATACAGCAGGAGCTGCTACATGTAGACTACGTACCTGTTCCTTCTCCATCTGGTCGATGACCGCGGGCGTGTAGTGCCTGCTGCGGCGGTTCCTGCGCCAGAAGGACGTGCCGGAGTACGCCGGGCTGGGCTGGGGGGCCGCGGGTGCCTGGGGGTGACATATAGGTATAGTCATGGTGTTACTCACACGGATAACGTACTAGTAGTCTGATATTTCGCTACATCTTAACACAGTTCCTGGGCTGCGTTTGGAACACTCTTACACATCTCTTACGTTGTAGTAAAGTGGGCTCCATGTGACTGTTTGGGACTGCTACGAGGGACTAATCGCCTTCCATAGACAGTAAATGATCCTGAAACTATTGCGAAACCAATAACAAAAACACTGGTTCTGGGACCAACCCATGGGATTTTTCATCCTTCAATTTCATACTATCATAGCATATTTAATATGAACTTTAAGATAGATTATCGCAATAGCAGGCCGATTATCTCACTCAAACAAAGGCTCAAACCAAAACAAATGCGATGAGAAAAAGATGTGATACAGGGTTCTCAGTTTAGGCATTGATGTCTCACCTTTTCTTTTTGTTTTTCCTCCTCCTCGTCGTCCACCATCAGACTCATGAAAGACTCCTCCAGCGACTGTCTCCGGCCTGACCGGGAGGACGGCTTGGAGCTTCGCACGCTCGACAGGCTACTGTTTTCTTTTCGGAAAAACAAACAAACAAACAAACAAACATTAATTTCTCGTTTTGCTCACCAGTGCAAATTTCTTCGTCTACCTCTATATGTATTTCCACCACTGGCACCCGGATAACGAAATCGAGGATAACTTCAAAATAATCAATCAAATTCTAAAACTTACCTAAAGTTATACTGCCGTCTTGGCTGCTGCTGGTGTGAGTGGAAGTTTTTCTCTGCAAAAAAAAAACAGCATAAATGAATCGTGGTCATCATACTATCACCAAATATGCAGATAGGCAAAGAATAATTAAGTGCAATGGGGTTTCAAATTTATGGCTAAAGGAAATTTGCTTCGCACGGGCCTGTATCCTTACATACATTACATTTCTTACATTTTCTAATTTCTTTCATTTCAGTTGCGGTATTTAGTTCGCGTTATATTTGTTTTTCGGTCGTCCATCCCTTTATTCACCATATTATTTCCTTTCTTTGCTGGATCCTCACCTTCTTGAGTTTCTTCTTCTGTTTGTTACAGTTACACTTGCACTTTTTCCTGAGGCTGGGGACGAGCAGTTCCTGACACTCACACTCAGGCGGCATGAGCCCCTGCAGAACCAGGCGCCGCTCCCGCTTTCTCTCGTTCAGAACAAGCTGAGATTCACGCTTCTCTATCTCAGACTGCAGAGAAGAAAGAAACGTGTAAAAACATTATGATAATGACGTGATAGTAATAAAATAATATGATAATAATATTTCTCAGGCGGCATGAGACCCTGCAGAACCAGGCGCCGTTCCCGCTTTCTCTCGTTCAGAACCAACTGGGACTCCCGCTTCTCTATCTCAGACTTTGGAGAGAGAGAAACAAAATAAGTTAGAACAGTAACATAATGACATTATAATGATATAATATCACACTCAGGCGGCATGAGGCCCTGCAGAACCAGGCGTCGTTCCCGCTTTCTCTCGTTCAGAATCAACTGGGACTCACGTTTCTCTATCTCAGACTGCAGAGAAGAAAGAAGCATAAGTTAGAACAGTAACATAGTAGGCATTTCGTCGGTCTTACAAGAACAGTAACATAATAACATAATAATAATATTACACTAACATAGAACCAACTGGAATTCACGCTTCTCTATCTCAGACTTCAGAGAAGAAAGAAACATAATATTGTACTAAGTATTTTTGGTGTCAACCATCCTTGCAGTGCCAGACTGGGCGGGTAGGTGTCACTTTAACACTCTAGTTCAGCGAAATGATGTAGACAGCAAGGAAATTAAAGCCTGTTCGCCAGTACAAATTAAATTATTGTCTGTTTGGAAACCTCTTGAGTCGGCCCTTTCCACTTAAAGTTCATAAAAACTTGCAATTCAGACCCAGTGCCGCAAAGAGCTTTACAAACAGGAATAGACTACTCTATAGATTTTTTATCATTTTCTGTTTGGAAACCTGTTGAAGCCGTCTGTCCCACGTCCCCATCCCACACACAATCTTTCCAAGGTCATCCCTCGATCTGGCGTCTTCTCCAGCCTCACATAAATTCCCCCTGTCCCCCCTGATGTTTACCCCCCAAACAAACTCTCCCCGCCATGACGAGCTACAACAAGCGGCCAGACCGCCTCAGTCAGCGGGTTATAATCGTCGTCATGGCAACGGTCGGTCCTCCCACGCCCTACAATATTGTGGCAACACTCCTCCCTATATCTGTCCGCCCGACGGTGTCTACATCATAATACTGTACAAAGGAGCTCGGTCAATGACCGACAAGGTTCCTGCATTCAGACTGTTTAGTCAAAACAGACATTAGTCTTCAAGCATCTATTTTTGCATCGTTTTGGTATGCCTCTGTACTGGTATGCCTCTGTACTGGTATGCATTTTACGCGTACGTCGATGGAGGTTAGGCATCCAGGTAAAATCGAAGGTACTTGTTACTAGATCAAGTAATTGGATACGAATATATTTCAAAACCTGTCAAACTTGTATCGAGTAGCATCCACTACTTTCGTCAGTGACTGGTGCATTTTGTACTGTCCACCGGCCCCGAAAACAGGAGCATCTCTATCCACAGAGACGCAAGAAAACGCTGAAAAAGTAGATTCTAAGTAAAGTGGAACTGCATTACATGTACGTCTGCTCGGGGAGCGATTAAGCCCTGTTCGTCTAGCTGTGTGCCAACAGGCTAGGGAGGCTACAGAAGGCTAAACGTTTACAAACCTAACAGAGCTGGGTAAATATTGAAGGTTGCGGTATGACCCGTACGATTAACACCTTTCAACATGCCCCTGCCCTGTGACAAACCAATTCTGTACACCTGTCAGGCGGACGGAGCAGATATTGACCAGGCAGAATCGTATATATAACCGCGTTGTTTAAACGGTTGGCCCGGGGCAAGACCTGTCGGACCAAACATCAACACTAGCGGCACAATTATGTCAAGTTTGTTGGTAAAATTAAGCCCCCTCAAAGATCTCAAACATGCTAAGCTAAACATGGAACTATTCTGCTATAGTGTCTTCATTATTTGAACGGCTCAACAAGAGGACGTAGTTGAGGTGTTTGAGCTTTACCTCAAATAACGGACACCGGCATCACAACTAACCACGTACAAAGTAACCAGGTATAAAGTAAAATGTTTTAGCGTCTGTATAATGCGAAAGTATAACCTAGCATAACCCTTAACTATAATGTATAATGTGTACGCTTTTACAGCTAGATCTCTCACATATTAAAGTGGCTAATATGGGCTAACGGTCATGTCTTATACATCGCACAATCGTC